GGGGGGGGGGGGGGGGAATGTTGGTGTTTTTTGTGTTTTTTTTTCTTTTTTTCCTGTTGTGTTTAATAATGATACTCTATTTCTATTGATTTCTCAACTGTCTTGCTATAACTATAAAGACAATATGTTTTGTCCCCTTGCTTCAGGGTAGGTGAAGCTTTAATATTTAGTACAAGGATACTGTTGAAGAATGGAAAGATAAACATGGAATGAAAATACACTAAAGAAAAATAATTTCTTTTAGATTTACTGAATAGGTTTTTTTTTAAACTTCACAGGTAGTATTAAAAAAAGTACGCAGAAAATTAACTTATTTTGGCATATTTTTTTGAGGTAGCTTAGTCATCAGAATTTCTAAGAATTCTGATTATACTAGTATCTTGTTCCTACTGGTTGTGGCAAGTCATGTTTTCTAAGGAAATTATGAGGTGTTACAAAATAAGCCATAGTGCTTTGTTATAAAACTCTACTATTTATTAATCTAAGTAAATCTAATACAAAAGTTTATTAGTGCAATGAACTGAACATCGAAAATATCCATTGTTATTTCAGTTCTGGGATTGATCCTGCTTACCACGCGTTCAGCTGGTACCCCATGGCAGTATGCGTGCAGTGCCATTGGCTGCGGTTTGCCAGTACTGTGGATTAGAAGTCCTAAGAAAGTGCAAGCACCATTTTCTCTTTCACGTCATCCCTGAAAGTGACATAGTATATCCAGACATCAAGGAGTCACTTAACTGCAGTAGAAATAGACCTGAGATTTCTGATGCAATCTGTTGATCATTAACAGTGGTATCTCCCAGACTTTCTGCATAAAGCACAAAACTGAGAATACATCTTGATTTATGATATCACTTATGATACTTCAGTGATCAATCAAAAATCCAATTTCAATGTGTCTTTACAGTTACTGTTTTACATATTTTGAAAAACTGTAGTTTATAAAACTTACTTCCTTGTGGCATAGCACTGAGAGCATGTCTCTCTGTATAGTGTCCTGTTGCTGACTACAGTAAAACAAACTTGAACATTTGAGCCTAAATTATCACTGCTGTATATTTCTTAATGAAGGACTGTAACACAAAATGGTGATAATTTTCTTGTGTGCATTACTTTAAACAGGAGGAAATAGAGCCATTTCCTGAAGAGAGAGAGAACTTTCTTCAGCAATTATACAAATTCATGGAAGACAGAGGTAGGCATTTTAATCTTGACTTGTAGAAGCTGAAGATAAAGTACTGCTAAGCAATACATCTAAAGAATTGAGTCTGTAAACTAGTGGTGCTTTGCAGCTCTTTTTTGGAAACAGTGAGACTCTGTTCATCACTTCTGACTTCCCTGCTGTTTAGAAGATAAGTCTGTCACTTGTCTCTTCTCCTAAAATACAGTCACTTACTCCTGCTTTCAGAAATAAATGGATAGTACCTCATATATCCCAGTGTATTTTTTACTGTGTACTTATAGTGTGTATAATCAAACATTTAATATCCTCAATCACACTAATGTATATGCTTGGTTTAGTAACTTTAAAATACTTAAATAAAATAAAATTTAACCACGCCCCTACTTTTTAGGATCATGGAAAAAAGCTTTTACATCATGCTAGTTTTCTTGTGTGAATCCTGATCGCTTAAATACATGACTATTATCAGTAAGGTAGACTGAAATGTTTTTAAAAGCAAATGCCACTTATTATATTAAATCTTTACCAGGTATTTATACACTGCAAGAAAAGTACAATATCTCTGGAGGCAGGGGTTGAAGGTGTTTGTATTTAAATTAGTACCTTTTTAATTATGCATGAAGATGAATTGAACGGTTTGCAAGAAATGACAATGTGGTAGTTACTGGTAGTGCAGCAGCATAGGAAGTTTCAGCTCTGAAGCATTGTGGGATTTGTTCCTGGGGAGGTGTTTTGGGTGGGGTTTTTTTTTTTATTATTATTGTAGTGAAAAGGACTATGCTGGTATTTTTAGATGTAATTGTTTCAGCAGGTGAAATAAAAATATGTATAACACAGGTAGCAAGAGAAGTCGTATCATTTGTGCATGTTCAGTAATACATAGAAGAATGCATATGTATGAATTAAATTACAGAACTACAGGGAAAATGGGTTATTAAGACTCTTGAGTTTGTTTAGTTTCATGAAGAGAAAGTAGCAGATGCATGAGGTGGTCAGAGGGAGGGGTTTACAATACCGTACGTAGTAGTGTAGTGGCGCATATGATGCAGATTTCCTGTTATTCTGAAAAAGATACTTCAAAACACTGCAATAACTGTCTTTGTTCGCAGGGACTCCTATTAATAAACGACCTGTATTAGGATATAGAAATTTGAATCTCTTCAAATTATTCAGACTTGTACACAAGCTTGGAGGATTTGATAATGTGAGTATTAGTATGATGAGTATTCCAGAGACAGAAAATCCGAGGATGCTGTTTATTCTTGTTTAAGTAGTGATAAAGAAGAATCTTACACAGGAGCTTTAGACATATGAAAATTGAATACTACAGCTATGTAAGACACCCTGTAGCTCTGAAAAATATGCTCTAATGGGAACCAGAAACTAATTGTATTCTAAATAAATTGCACATCTACTCAGCGTGTTTCATTATTGCTGCATAAAATCAGCCAACATGTGTATTCCTGTGATATTTCAAGAAATGTTTGTCTGATAAAGTTGTTACCTCAGAAAGTGAAAAGAGTCACTACTCAATAAAATATTGAAGACAAGTGATCTAGTTTAAGGTCTGATGTGAGGCCCTTAATTCCTGTCTATTCTGGGCAATATATAGAAGAATGTGCTAACTGGGATTAGTGGGATTGGTCTTAGAGCCGTAATTGAAGCATATGGAATTCATGGCCAAGCAGATTCTGTTACTGCTTTGGAATGCTTTCCATAAACTTAGCCTGTTCGTTGAGAAGGTATGTTTTGTGCAGTGACACCTTTCTGATATACAAGAGAGGATCTTCTACGTGGGTGTTTGCAGTACATCTGCTTTACCTTCACAGATGGTTAGAAATGAGCGTATCACACTGTCATAGAACTTTGACACCAAAGGGCATTTTAAGGACATAACGAAAGACTGGTAGCCACTGTATCTGGTGCAGTACTGCTAGGGCTGAGTATTGTTAATGCTTTGAATGAATTTTTTTCTTTCCAGTTTAATTAAAATTCTAGCTCTGATAGTTAAGAATCACTTTAAATATAAAAGTGATGTACTGATTTTTCTGATCTCTGTATTTTCTTTCCTTTGGTTTATTACCACCTGGAGAGAAAAGCCTGCTGTGGCTTACTGAAATGCAAAAGTGCTAAGTTGCTTAGAGTAGTTACATTAGACTACAGTTTGCATTACAGTGAAAAAACTGTGTGTGTGATAAATAGTAATTTTGTAGATCAGAGGAAATTACTTATAATTATTTCCGAAGTTGTAAACTTTGTTGACATCTTTTTTTGTGTCAGTGAGTTACTTCCAAAACGATGACTTCATTTTTCTTTAACAGATTGAAAGTGGAGCAGTGTGGAAGCAAGTTTATCAAGATCTTGGAATCCCTGTATTGAATTCAGCTGCAGGATATAATGTTAAATGTGCATACAAAAAGTAAGTAATAAAGCTATGGAGTTTGTGCTAAAACAGCACTAGAAAGAACTGAAGTGATCCTGTGATAGTGGTAATATACATAAAGTCCCTAACTTTTTGGGTATAATATAGTTTGTTAGGCATTAAACATACTGTTCATATTTAGCTTCTGCTAGGTAGCCTTTTCTTTCTTGAAACAAACTTGCTTATCGTGAGCAATTTTTTTCTTTCAGATATCTGTATGGTTTTGAAGAGTATTGTACATCAGCTAACATTGAATTTCAAATGGCATTGCCAGAGAAAGTGACGAGCAAGCCTTGTAAAGACTGTGAAAAAGAAAAAGAATCGAAGATGCGTGAAGAACCAGAGCAGGATGTAAAAGAAATAAAAGTGGATAAGGAGGAGCGCAAGCAGGAGGAAGTAGCAATAGTACAACAAGAAGAAAAAAAGTTAGCTGAGAATGATAATGAAAGTAAAGAAAATGATAAGCCCTCTGTTCTGGTAAAAAATTTTAATGTTCACGTTATTCTGTTTATAAAGTCAGGTGGTGTGTTGATAACCATAAATTCATGTCAACATTGAAATCTCCATAAGTTAATGCTGTAAACCTAATTCAGAACAACACATTTAAGCTGTACTTACCTCTCGGTGCCTGTTTTAGGGGATCATGATGTCAAAATGACGGACTTGTTAGGAAGCAGCTGCAACATTCCACTTGTTTGGGGGCCTCCCAGGCCAAATGGAGACTAATTAGCGTGCAGCTTTATCCTGATCTGGGTAATGCGTGCTCACAGCTAACTACAGTGCTGATACTTTAATTTTGCGTTTAGCCATGCTTTTAAGGCCTCATAAATCTTGCTTTTACTTCTCCACTCCAGTGAAACCAGTGAAGCTCTACAAAGACCTGGGCCATATGATGTACACAGTGGTCTAATGTAGTTCAGTGGTCTAGAGACAGATGTTCATACCTTTCCAAAATCCAATGTTGACTCAGTGGCTTTAGCAAAGGAAGTCCAGGGTGGTAAGGTGAAGTGCTGTGCTATGCAGGCTTAGCAGTTTGCTCTGGAAGCAGTGCAGGCTCCTCAAAGTCAGTGTGCAACACAAATGTAATGCTTCTGTGTGTAAGTGGCAGCCAGCCCTGGTCTGTCTACTGGTACTAACTCAGGTGAATACCAGGTGGGCCAGTACTGATATCGCTGCATCCTAAGTAAAAACGTACCCTGTGAAGCATTCATCTTAGGGATTGCTTTGCAGTTCAGGTCTAAGAGCTGCATGCCTATATCATTGTGACAAAATTAGCTAGGACACTGGCTGCAGATTTGAAGTCTGTTATGTTTAGTTTGAGATTTTCAGAAGAAAAAATAATGGAGGTGCTGTAATTTTAGAATAAGCCCTAGACTCTAGATGTTTGGTTTTTTTTTTTACTCATATAACTTCAGTGTGTTTTGTCTGCCTTTTCTTAAATCCTTTGTATTTTTATTTCACCTTGTAAGTTAACTAGAGATTTTATTATCCTAGGGAAATAAAAAAAATTTGCCAGAACCTGCATATACTCAGCCTGATCAAGAAAAGGACTTAAATGTAATCAAAACTGAAGATGACACCAAACTAGAAGATAAAGAGGAGGAGAAGATTAAAGAAATGGAAAATCCTAATGCAAATGCAGATGCTGAAGAAAAGGAAAAATCAGGGTAAGTTACTCTGTTTATAATCAGCTAAGGCATCTGATGTGTGTTTCACTAAACTTTACTCTTGTAATCTGAACTTCAAATCAGACAGCCCTGTTGTGAATCAGACTCGTATCTTCCAGAGACCTATGTGTTCCAAACTTTCTCATGGTTAGTACCATTCATGTTTGTGGATCTAATTTAAAAAAAAAAAAAAAAAAGGCAGCTGAAGTTTTTACAGGGTCCAGGGCTAAATATTTATAAGCTGAGTGGGCAAAAGAACTTATGAAGCATAGGTAACTATTTGATTTAAGACAAAAATATTGCAGCCATTGCCAGTAGTAATTGTCTACTTAATTTTGGTACAAGTATGTCACAAACTTGCGGTTTCTAGCTGTTGCTGTTGGACAGTGGTGTGTTGTGGGTAACACAAGGAGAAGATGGAAGTACCTTGCATCACTCAGGAACAGCTTTGCCATTGAGTGGGCATGATACTGACAAGGAGTCTTTTGTGCAATCCTTCAGACAGGAGTTTTGGAAGTAGGAGATTGAAGTAGTAGGGATGTTCAGGGCCATGTAATCAATGGATGTGTGCAGGTGCTCTCTCATTTCCTTTATGGAATGGGCAGGTTTTCCTGTTTCAGTGCAAAAAATAAAAGCAAGTGTTTTTTGGCAGCCACGCAAAAAAATATGAAGCTTACAACAGAATATAGTACTCTCTAATCCCCAGTGTGTTAACAGTTTATATTCTTGCAATTAGGACCCTCATATAGTATGATTTAAAGTGGTAAGAAGACAAAAATGGTCAGATTGAAGGTCTCTTTTAATACAGTATCTTGTCTTCAACAAAAGACAATACCAGATGCTTAGGGGAGAAGCTATTACAAGAGGGAAAGCAGATAATGACACCTCCTTATACTTTCACAGCAATCTGTATCAGGGATGTTTTTTTATACTTAATACCAGCTGTTGCCTGACCACTGATTCCCTTGTTCATTTCAGTAATCTTTGCTATTTAGTAGATCAGCTCTCCTAATCTTCTGTCTAAATATCATTAACTCTTAATGCCTTTTCTGGCCTATTAAGAGTTGTGACAGAATGGCATAGTTCAGTATATTGATTTCTGATTCATTGGTAATAGTTCTTTTTTTATTTCATTAAGGGTTTTGATTTCCATATAACAGATTCTGGAAGGATCCTTCTGTAAAACACTTTTGTCTTCCTAAACATTTTCGGTGAGATTACACTGGCAATTTCTGTAACTCAGAAATGCAGAATACAGAAAAATCAAGTTTACCTGAACTCAGTTAGAAGACCCTTTTCTCTGTGGATGTGATTTCATTTCTATCCTATGTGAATTTTTCTTTTTTTAAAAGACCAATTGCTGGAATTTGTTACATTTCCCATTTTAAAGTTGAACTAGATGAGTTGTACTATAACAAGTTTACTGGATCTTCAAGAGTTATTAAAGACTGATTTTTACAATGCTACTTTCAAAATATACAACTAAATAGATGGAAAACTTTGCTCTGCTTAGAGAATAGCAGTTTTTAAAGTTCCCTAAAGTGTATATTTATATACATATATATACGTTTACGTTTGATATTACTTTGTGTTTATTTATATACTTGGAAAGTAGAGTGGCTTAATGCTTACCATGCTGCTATAGTAAATGGTACATAAAATTATAAGCTGCATTTGCTTTTCAGTAATCCTTTTTTTATTTTATTTTATCCTGAGTCATGTCCATTTGTGTTATTTATGACATTAAAAATTGTAATGAGTTGTCTTAGTTTTTATTTATGAAAACAACAAACAACTGTAGAAAATACTATTTCCTCTTAATTGTCCCCAATTCATCTGATTGTAATGGAGTGCTTTTCTCTCTGCTTCTCTTTATTCATCCAGTAAAAACTCTTCTAACTAGTGCTTTGCTATTGTGATTCATGAAAGATTGTAACGACTCAGAATAGAAGGCGTAGCTCTAAAAATAGATGTAGGTGGTGATGTGGTCCTTGCTGGGGATAAGTTTCAAGGGGTAATTTAAACTTAGAAAAAGGAAACATTTATAGCAGTTAATAGTCTGTAAGCATTTATAAGCGGTAGTACTGTAGTAGTGCTGTTAGCGTGATTTCTTTTCCTTTCTTCCCACATCTCAATCCCAGAGATTGATAGGAAGTACAAAACACATTTCTGTCAGCTTTGAAGAGATTTTAAAAATGTCACTGTCATCCTAAATGCTAAACAATGTTTTTAGCATTTATACCATAAAGGGGTTTTGTGAGCCTGGTATGCTGGTGGGGATGTTGTTCTGGACATTGTACTGCCCCTATCCCCAACTTCATGGGTTAGAAGTGGCAAAGATTATATAGAGGGGGAAAATGCTGTGGTTTTGTTGAGCTGAAACACAAAATGAAAAAATGCGGTTTTGTAGGTGGAAAACTAATCACGCATGCGCGCGCACACACACACACACACACACACAAAAAAAAAAAAACCCAAACCCGAAACGTAACCTAAAGAGATCACTGTGGACTGAATTTTTGTCCGTGTGTGTCGTGGTTTAACCCCAGCCAGCAGCTAAGCACCACGCAGCCACTCACTCACTCCCCCTACCCCGATGGGATGGGGAGAGAATCGGAGGAGTAAGAGTGAAAAACACTCCTGGGCTGAGATAAGAACAGTTTAATAATTGAAATAAAGTAAAATAGTAATGCTAATAGTAACAGTATAATAATGATAATAATAATAATGATATACAAAGCAAGTGATGCGCAATGCAATTGCTCACCACCCGCTGACCGATACCCAGCCAGTTCCCAAGCAGCGATCGCTGCTCCCCAGCCAACCCCCCCGCCCCCCAGTTTCTATAGTGAGCATGACGTCATATGGTATGGAATAGCCCTTTGGTCAGTTTGGATCAACTATTCTGGCTGTGCCCCCTCCCAGTTTCTTGTGCACCTGGCAGAGCATGGGAAGCTGAAAAGTCCTTGACTAGCATAAGCAGTACTTAGCAACAAGTAAAAACATCAGCGTGTTATCAACATTCTTCTCCTACTAAATCCAAAACACAGCACTATGCCTGCTGCTAGGAAGAAAATTAACTCTATGCCAGCCGAAACCAGGACAGTGTGTTTAAAATGTATTCCTGAAACCTTTTTTAGCTATGGACCATCTGTCTTTCACAGTCCTAACCAAAAAAACAAACAAATGAAATCTAATATTATGTAAGGCAAACTTGCAGAGTTTGCTATTTGAATTTATGTCTGTAGGACTTTGGGCTTCTTCATGTAGCTTATTTGTGTGTAGACACAAGGAACCAAGAGGACAGAAAAAATTCTTGGTTTCTTCTTGCTGAATTTCTGTTGGGTGGACTGGATCTAATTCCCAGCTTCCAGATCTCAGGGAGTATTACTGGAAGCCAGGGTTGTTTATTTTCCAGGGGTTTTGTTTCTCTGTGTAATCCCATGTGTTTCAACCCTTTGAGATTGCTACCACTTGAATCCTATGGTCCCTTCTGTACAGACTAACAGTATGATGAAGAGGAAGAAATGCTGAATGTGGTTCTTTCCCTTTCTTCCCCAGAGGGCCTGTTTCTTGCCTGCTTGTGTATCTGCGAACACTGAGAATAGAGATTCAAAGGCAGCTTGCCCCTTATTATATACATGCTTTTCTTGTTTTTTTCTGTGGCTAGTGGAAGATGCATGTGCTAGACATGGTTTTGTGCAACTTCTAGTCATAAAAACAGTAAAAAAAGGCCAGTAATGTGTTATTCATCTGTCCCAGAGAGATCTTCACAAAAAAGACTTTGTAAACCTGTGCTTTTCCCTAACGTACAAAATTCATTCTTGGTCAATGAATAAACAAGAAAGTTTAAAATCCTCCTTATTTTGAAGTTCCTTTTGCTGACTTCATGTTGTGGAAGCAATGGTCTTCCTATGTAGCATTGCATAGTTGGTGCAGTTTTCATTTCTAGCATCTAACAGTAACTGTTGTAACTGTTCAAAGACTTGAGTCAAAGCCAACAAATTGAGAACCGAGGGGCTTTTCTACATAATGAACAATGTAGACAGTTGAACATGTTCCCAAGAGACTGAGGCCAGGAGCCTAATGGAGTTTTTAAAAGGTGTGGGGTTTTTAATATAAGCTAATAAAATAAAAAGTAAGTCTTTAAAAATTTCATGGTAGATACAGTTTGTGAATTGACATGTAGGTTAATTGCTAGTTAACCAATATTAGTAAGAAAATTTTTTCCCAGATGATTAATTCAACTCCAGGGGTTGTTTGTTGTTGTTGGTTTTTTTTAACACTTTTCTCTAAAGCACCTGGGACAGGCCACTGTCAAGAACTTCATGTGGAACTGAAAGATTTAAGTGTTCAGAAGCCAGATAATGATAATTGCTGTCCAACAAAAATTTGCATCAGACTTCTATATTGCTAGTACTTGGATTTTTGAGGTGACCAAGCAAAAATCCTTGAAGTAGTCCCAGTTACAGTACAGAAAGAATGCAAGAGGCTTTGTTCTTCTGTTTTCCTTCTTTTGGCTGAGGTGCTCCCTTAACCCTAATGCCAGGAGGGGCTGCCATCTCTGGATCCTTACCCTGCCTTTTCTGACCAAGCCGTCGTTTTCAGTACTCACAAATAGTTCTTACTTGGTCTTACAAAAGTTCTTGGATTGATTTCCCACCCCCCCACCCCCCTTCTTGAAAACTGCCTACTTTTTTATTTCCTCCAAGGAATGCATGAATAAATGTTCCTAAAGAATACTTCAGAAGCCTAAACACTTCTGGTTGTCTCATACTGCTGTTTTAGGTCTTCATGGTATGGTTTTCTGGGAGTTGATACTGTCATACTTGGACAGTATCAAAAGGAGAAAATGCTAAACCTCTTTGGCTCATAATCTTGAATGAAGTTAAACCGTTCATTCACATGGAAGGGAAAAATCTTAACCTTAGAGCTGTTATATGCATCGTTACATGCGGTAATAGCATCTCCCCTCCTATAAGCAGTGGGAGGGAGCTAGG